ACTTAATCCTTCTCTTAAAATAAACTCGAGAACGAAACTTATTAGTGTTCAGTGATAGCTACTCGCTCGAGTAACTGGAGCATATAAATGTCTAAATAAATCGATTAGCTTTCATAGTTCTAAAAAAAATCAAAACCCATGACTGGTATATATTTATCCAGAGACTGATAAGAGACTGTCTACACGTATATAAACATTCGTATTCGCTTTGCCCATAGACACAATCCAATAGGATCGGAACCGGATCTTGTAGGCAGGTCGTGATTCCGACCCGGTGGTGGACTCAACCCCCCATCCCCCATTCCATTCCACGACGGCCTTCATGCGGCCAATGATCGGAGGCGCTGGCGGTACATTACAAGGAGCAAAATCCTGTCGACATATAATGGTCACGACCCTCAGCAGTGAGGAAACGACGCGAGGAGGGAGGTGGACTCAACGAAGCACTGCTCTTGCTAAGGCAGTTGTTAGCAAACTCTCTCATGCTGAGTTTAGTTGAAGCCAGAATATCCCCTCGCGGCTACTGGCAGATATAGATAACAAATAGAACAGAAACAGATTGCTTAAATTAATGATTTACAAACGGCTCACGTAATGCTCTTTCGTCTCTGAGTTCTACTTAAGTTAATTAGTTTTCGCTTTGACTTAGATCTATAAAAATCAGAAAAAATAAACAAAAGTTTCCGAATGACCAATGATGATGTACAAATCGAAATCTGAACTGTGTGAAGCAATTATTATAAAATGACGTATTTCGCCAGTATTTTATTATAGCGACCCGCGCTCGCTTCGCTTCGGTAACATTAAAACACACATGAAACCAAAAAAAAAAATAAAAAAAAAATTAAAAAAAGTAGCCTATGTTCATCAGGGACAATGTCGGCTTCTAATGGAAAAAGAATTTTTCAAATCGGTCTAGTAGTTTCGGAGCCTATTCGAAACAAACAAACAAACAAATCTTTCCTCTTTATAATATTAGTATAGATTAAACCAGTACGGTCCTCTTCTATTTACTAATTACGCCCTTCAGAGCTACCTATTTATACTTACTGATCTAGATTTTCCCTTTAAAATTACTTTCTTAATAAACATAGATTGGATTCATTCTATTTTTAATGTTCATAAGGCGTTTCAATAATCAAAGCGGAAACAAGGACATACCTAATTATGGAAGACATTGCCGATTGACTTGTATAATGAGCAATTTGTATTGTAGTATAATAAGAATTATTATCTTTTTTTCATAGCTAAGCTGATAGCTTTGCTAACGCTGGCCCTAGCAAGAGCAATGTTTCGCGGAATCTACCTCCGAATCGGAAACGCGACCCACTGTGAAGATCCGGCGAGAAACTCAGTAGGCTGTGTCTGTGGGTTAGTTTACTCGCCGAACTCTTCGTCACAAGCGACGGGTTCGACGAGGACGGTGACCGTTGCTTGAGGTACTTAAAAGCACCGTTACCGCTAGTGGATCCGGAGTATCCGAAATGACGGGTTAGGGCAAATGACGTGTTTAGGACTATAATAAGAATGAAGGCGGTTTTTAAACGGTTTTATTTTATATGGCCGTTATAAAGCGTACTTCGAAGTGGAGTGGATATAGGTAGGTTTCCATAGCCTTGGTTGATTTAACTTCAAAGCAAAGTTTCCTTAAAGTTTTAAAATTCTTTGGTCACATCTCCAGAAAAGAGCACTCGATGGAGAGACTGGTAGTCCAGGGCCAGATGGAAGGCAGAAGATCACGCGGCCGCTCACCGACCCGCTGGACTGACCTAATAAAGAAGGCAACTGAGTCCACTATGGTCGAATGTACTCGTAACGCTTCGAACCGCCAGACCTGGAAGCGCATTGCCTGGAGGACGGTTGTCGGGAGCATGGGCGACCTAACAGGTCCTACTGCACATATAGCGTCAACGCAACCACGACCACTCTGACAAGAGTGTCCGACTGAGAAGAAAGTTTCCTTAATTAGCGAATAGTTGGAAGTATTTTGGCATCCTGTCTCAAGGTGAGAAATGGCATTCACGTCCCGATGCCTCGTGGTCAAGGTGACAAGCGCCTCTGCTAGTCTTGAGGAACATAAAGCAGAGCTCAGGATAGAATCAGAACCACTTTTAAATCATTTAGACAACTACACTCCTTAGCTCAGTCGCAATTTTCCATTTGCGATCGCGTATTGCGTACTACGCTTCGGAAACTTCAAGTTAAATCACAACGTGTATTCAAAGATTTTCCGGTGAAAGTGTAGTCCGCTGATCGATGGACCGTGAACACAATAAGACGTAAAACTATCGCCTAATTGAGTTAATTTAAAAATAAACTCGACCTAGTGAATGTTTCGTGCAGAAACGAACCCAAGAGGAAATCTCATGAATGTGATCCAGCTGCTTCTTATGTACTAGACTTGCGCAAAACATCACTTCCCAATGTAATGTGATATGACATCACTTTTACAGACAGGTGATATTACTCGAAAACATTACACATCATATGTACGTATCCAGCGAGTGATGAAGGAACAATACCAATAGTATCACTATCAATGGTAGTAGAAAATGTAGCCACAGATATTTTTATATTTATTTATTTGGCATATCAAATAGACCAAAACATTCATACGTAGTACATTAAAAAAATTCCATTACACATGAGTAGAAAGTGTACTAAATCGTAATAAAATTAATTTCCAAAAAAATAAACAGAAAAACTTATTTTTTTCTACTTAACACAACAAGTACCTAGATCACTTTACAACAAAATTCTAAAATCTCATGTTTTTATGCTGTAAGATATCAATAATATTGTCATAATTGGAGCATCTATACTAATATTATAAAGAGGAAATGTTCGTTTGTTTGTTTGTATTGAATAGGCTCCGAAACTACTGAACCAATTTGAAAAATTATTTCACTGTTTGGAAACTACACTATTCCCGAGTGACATGGGCTATAATGTTTTTTGGAAAAAAATTGGGATCCTTACTAAAACTCCAATAATGTAACCCAAGGTGTAAAAAATTACCTAAAATATTCTTTACATCGCGTGCCCTGCGAAAACTATTCATGATAGAATAAAATAATGTACTACGACTTTGTAAGACACATTATTATTTACAATAAGTGTCTCGACAGCATAATATGTCTAACTATTATAGTTATGCCGCAACAAGTCGTGTTCTTATATTTACAAAAATAAAACGACGTCAAGCATCCATGAAATTTTTGTTAAAAACCCGAGCGGAGCCGGAACGGGCCGCTTGTTTAATATATTATCATGTACACACTCTACGGTAAATGTATTACCTTCTCACAACACACCTTCCGTGAGTACTATTACCGACTTCTTATTCATGCTCTTTAAGTATTTCAAACCGAATCTGCTCGTAACAAAAAGCTGGTTGCTTACTCCTTTCTCGCGCAGCACCGTCCATTAATCTTATACATCCGGCTGCTTACATAACTGCACTTGTTTTCCTTGAGAAATTTAACGTTACCATAATTATTATTGCTTGGTATTTGAATATTTTGTATGTTTGTGAAATTGGTTAAAAATTTTTTTTAATTATTACTTTTTAACTTGATCTTACAATTTAAAAGCCGGTTTAGCTTTCGAACCGATCCGCATTACGTAGCCCGAATAAGCCGTTACAAAAGCTTAAGTCAATTATTGTAGAGAATGTAAACTGATAAATACAAGAACCAAGTATGTGACCACGAAAGTGGTAATAAAAACCCGAGATAAATCGCAATTTTATTTTTTTTATTTTTTTTATTGCTTAGATGGGTGGACGAACTCACAGCCCACCTGGTGTTAAGTGTAATTTAATATTTACAAATATCGATACCGTCAAAGTCTTGTTGGTAGCATTAAATCATTTTTTGTTACAATTTTCTAGTTTGTTTTTCAGCTTTATAATTTAAATCGTAGCTTATTATTAGTTCAGTATTTGAGAAAGTGCATAGCGGAAAAAATGTTTCCAATTTCAGTAGGTTCCTAACGAGTATACGGCTCACCTATTAGTGAGTGGTTACCGTCGCCCATGGACGTCAGCAATGCAATGCATGGATGCTAGGGACACAGTCAAGTCAATACTAACCGCTACTATTCTGTGTTCGTCAAATGAAACATAAGTAAAATGTCAAATATATACTTGAATAACAATAATAAATATTATTAAATAATAATAATAAATATTATAAATAATAATAATAAATATTATTATACCTATGCCTGTATTTTTGTTTAGGATTCAAGAATCGTCTGTGTATATTATAGACATAAGACATTAATTATTATTCTTTAGCTGTCGTCCAAAAATTTTTGGATTGAAAATTCCTTTAGCAAAGCTGCTACTTGTAACACAATGAAACGAAATAGCAACTGTAAAAAGAGACAAACATAAGACTTTGCTTGCGAGAGAACGAGATAGAATACCTCTGAAGGTTCAACTGCGCGTGAATTGCGATTAAGTTTTCCTTGGGCTAGAAGAATGGACGAACTAACCACCTGAAACTCATAGACATTAATCACACACGAATGCCTAGGTAAAGCCACCCACATTTGTACTTTAGATGAAGTAGATAATAATGTATCTACGCTGAATCTATGTTAGATGGAAGGGCTTTTGAAGTAAAACTTCTTTAGAATCGTTGTGATTTCAAACTCGATGAAACGAAAAAATAAGTCCATAGAGTTTTTTTTTAATACAGCGCCATCTATGAGATTTTTTAATAATAACGTGTGTATGAAACTTCTTGTAGTGAATTTCAATTTAGGATTATACGTGAAGTTAAAATATCAATTCACAGAGGGCGCTACCTCATACTATAAAAGATTATTTACAATTATTTACTAATGATAAAAAATTTACATATACTTAGACATTTAGGATAATTGTATTTTAATTTTTGAAGGTTTCAATTCTACCACGTGTGAAATGCACACATGTATTTTTCCCCCACATATGTTAATCACAGTAAAACCAACGTGGAAATTTAAAACAGGTGACCTCATAGAACTAATCGGTTCATTCCCACACGAGAACTACGATTACCACACAAACACGAACCAATTCGACGAACAACCGGTTGTAGTTTATCCGGAACAAGACCGCCCGAAGCCGACGAGGCCGAAACCGGTCACGAAACCGGACTGGCACACACACTATTTTCACGTTAAGCCGTCTTACAACGAGGTCACCACTTCGAAGCCCTTCTACACACCAACACACAACGGTGATGATGATTATGTGCAAGTTTACACGAACGGCAACCAGCCGGGTTCGAGTCAACCGGGTGAGATTTGTGATAACCGGTTTTTGTTTCTGGGTGGTTTCTTTTCTTTACGCTTGTATCGGTGATGGAACTTGGGTTTTGATGAAGATCACATCTGTTTTAAATGAATTTGATATGTAGCGTGTTGCTAATGTTAAAGATAAAGTTTCACGCCAATGTTGAATTTCTTACTGTTAATCATAATCTAATTGTTAATAATTTCACAATTTTTATTGTTACCATACTAAGGTATTAAGAGCTGTAAAAGAAAAAAATATTTAAAATATCATAACCGTGAACATTTAATGGCGGGCCAACTATGGACTTTACATGGTAGCACCCATGAAGACACCAGAAAAAGGGTAGACCTATTATTCTACTACCTTCCTAGTCTTCAATTTATCCATGATTGTGCCCTACTTGCAACAGCGGACTTGCAACTTGGCAATCGGAAACTCAATATATTTGAAATATTTGTTAATGACTAGACAAATTGAACTATTCGCTATGCAGATACCCGCATAAGCTTAAAAATTATTACAGCAATAAATGCATCTTATAATAAACATTTAAAAGACATATAATACCCAATTCTCGTTTAAATTTTCCTTTTTTTTTATTGCTTAGATGGCTAGACGAGTTCACAGCCCACCTGTTGTTAAGTGGTTACTGGAGCCCATAGACATCTACAATCTAAATGCGCCACCCACCTTAAGATATAAGTTCTAAGGTCTCAGTATAGTTACAACGCCTACCCCGCCCTTCAAACCGAAACGCATTACTGCTTCACGTCAGAAATGGGCGGGGTGGTGGTACCTACCCGTGCGGACTCACAAGAGGTCCTACCACCAGTGATTACGCAAATTATAATTTTGCGGGTTTGATTAATAATTTATATTAGGATGTATTAGTCGTTACCAAACATAAGTGTTGATTATCATTTGAATTCTCGTTCCATTACTTATTAAGCACTTCAAGCTATGCATTGCACTGTTATAACATAATCATCACGCACCTTTTCACTTTGTACAGCACATGCTTCCGGAATGTTTAACATACAATATACCTCTACTTTGTTTTAAGTAAGAATCGACTATGGGTTACAACACTCGGATATTTTTTTTTTGTATTGCTTAGATGGGTGGACGAGCTCACAGCAAACCTGGTGTTAAGTGGTTACTGGAGCCCATAGACATGTACAACGTAAATGCGCCACCCACCTTGAGATATAAGTTCTAAGGTCTCAGTATAGTTACAACGGCTGCCCCACTCTTCAAACCGAATCGCATTACTGCTTCACGGCAGAAATAGGCAGAGTAGTGGTACCTACTTACTACTGCCTACTACTACTACCTACTCGCACGGACTCACAAAATCCTACCACCAGGGTGTATTACAAGTGGGTAGACATTCTGCCTGCCTATTTCTGCGGCACTCCATCATGGTTTCCGGTTTCAAGTGTGGGGCAGATTTCTAGTGGTTTTTTTTATTGCCTTTGTAGGCAGACGAGCGTACCGCCCACCTGATGGTAAGTGGTTACCGTCGCCCATGGACTTCAGCAATGCCAGGAGCAGAGCTAAGCCGCAGCCTACTGCAAAATTGAGGTTTCGACCTCATGTATCCCGTATCGGGTTTCCGTAGGCCCTGGATATCAAGTGGGCCGTATTTATTATCTATAGTTGTTCTTAAATTACATTGTATATTTTAATAAAACGGTAAGTAAATTTTAACTGAACAAAACAATAGTATATGCTAATATTTTTCTTCAGTTTTCGTGATTTATAGACCTAAATAAAATCACTTTTACAATTTTTTTATTACCATTAAATTATATTCGACTTTACGCATACTTTACTATTTTCGTGATCAATAATCCGGGACCATGTCCATAGAAACGCCAGAATAAATCGTAAAAATATTTTTAATATGTTATATTGTATTTTAAAACTGACCAATGCATGTTTCGATCTCCTTCGAAATAAGTATGACAAAGGAAATCATTCAAAAGGGCATTCATTAAATCTGTACAAAGTATCATTGTATGATGTAACTAAAATTAATTACGTGTGATGTCTAATGTAAATATTGTAATTTATTAGCGTTTAGTTTCCCGCACCGTTGACTGTAGAAGATACAATGATTTTTTATACAACAGATATGTGAGTCGTCTATTATCAAAGGTGGCAATCTGTGCATTTGGACAAAAAAATGTTATTGATATGTCAATACAGATTGATTTGAATATAATCGTCTCCTTCAAAGAATACGGTTCAAAACCTGCATTAAATAAAGGTTAATACTTAACCTGTTATTTATCTAAGATGTCGTTCAGAAGAGTTTTGTGACTGCCAATGGAATACAAAGTCAATAATTCGTTTTTCTGATTTACCAATAATTGTCCGAAAGTCAGATTGCCGGCTTTGATAATAGTTGACTCATGTTATCTTCATAGTAACTGACTCTTCAAATCTGATCGCGCCATATACAGTCAAACCTGGATAAGCGAGAGTTCAAGGGAGTACAATCTCATTCTCGCTTATAGAGGTTTCTCACTAACCCGAGTTTCTCGCTAATGCTCCCTCTGAATTTCATTTCGCGATTTTCCTATATTCAAACCCATTCATTATTTTAAGTTTATCACTTAATGAGAGTACTCTAATTTTCCGTTTTGACATGATACAGAACAGAACTTTCCTTCGCAATTGATTAACAATAAACTGAGTAAGTCCGACAAACAGGACAGTACACAGGCACACGTGTCCATTCGAAAAGAATGCGATAAAATAACAACGTTATTTAGTTACACGAAATAGAATAGGTTCAATATTGACGAGAAAACAATACAAAAACAATGGTAGGAAGTTCTACAAAAGTTAAGAATGAGTCATAAAATAGCAGTAGTTAAATTTTTTATTTGTTTTTTCATGTTCCTCCTAAATAATATAAATAAATAAAGCTCGACTGTCGCTTATAGAGGTATAGATAAGTAGCAGTCTCACTTACGGAGGTCCATGAGGGAAAAACGACTCTCTCTTACAGAGGTTTCTGTTTCTCACTAATAGAGGTTTTGGGAGCTTAAAATGACGGGTCCTGACTATTACTCTCACTTATAGAGTTTTCTCACTTATCCAGTTCTCACTTACCGAGGTTTGACTGTATATCTACATACCCACCGATATAGTGTTGACAAGTGGCATTAATGAAAAGTACAAAAGATGGGATAAGCGCGTGAGTAAAAAAGATAGCTATAATTGGAACGATTGCACCTGTTATATTATTGTTGCATTTGTTTAGACGCGAGTAAAGATGAAACGTCCAAATTGGCCTGTTTTCGAGTCTTCACTTGACGTGCGCTTGAAACATATCTGCTTCTTTTTACATATAAAATATCATTGAGAAGATAAGTTTCCACAACATACTCCCTTTGATTAACAATAAACAACAGAGCAACATACAACAAAATACACGCGTATACATTCTCAAGATACAACATAACAAAAAAAACTGTTTATTTACTTGTCTCCCCAATATAATTCGTATGTGGTATGAACACGAATTATCGGAAGGATACTACCGTTAGGTATCGCTGTACGCGGAGACTATTAGTGTCCACTTAAAATGAGACATAGTTGCTTGAGGTCACTAAGATTTCAATATTTATTTAAGTAAATAAGTATATTAGTATATATTGTATGTCAGTATGTATATTGGTATATAAATCAGTTAGTTAAACATTTCATATTATATGTAAACGGTATATATATTATGTTTATTGTATGTATATATTTTCTATAATAATATATTGTCTATAGTACACCGCAACATACCTGCTATATTTTTATATTTTCCAGAATTTCTATAAATTAAACGGTTGTCTGGAAGAGATCCCTTTTAGCTATAAGACCGCCTATTGTATAAATGTATCTGCTTTTTGACTGTTCTTTGAATGTAAATTATGTTTTGGTGTGCAATAAAGTGTATTATTTCTCTCTCTCTCTTTCTCTCTCTCTCTCTCTCTTCCTCTCTCTCCCTCTCTCTCCCTCTCTCTCCCTCTTTCTCCCTCTCTCTCTCCCTCTCTCTCTCCCACTCTANTCTCTCTCTCTCTCTCTCTCTCTCTCTCTCTCTCTCTCTCTCTCTCTCTCTCTCTCTCTCCCTCTCTCTCTCTCTCTCTCTCTCTCTTTCTCTCTCTATTTAACCAAAGAACGGTAGTTAAATAACATATACGTGGTTTACAGGTTGCGGAGAGCATTTCACCCGTTCGAACCGTATCGTTGGGGGTCATTCCACCGGCTTCGGCTCCCATCCGTGGCAGGCTGCCCTGATCAAGTCAGGTTTTCTGAGCAAGAAGCTGGCCTGCGGTGGAGCCTTGATATCTGATCGATGGGTGGTGACGGCCGCCCACTGCGTTGCTACGTGAGTACGCTTTTACTGTTGATTTTTAAAGCAAGACGCGTTGTCTGTAATTCTACCTTCAAAATATCGTTTTTAAAATTAATTAAATAATTAATAATAAAATAAAAATAGAATTAAACATAATTTCCCTACTGAATATAACCTAATCTTAATTAATCAAAATATGTAGCCTAGTTTTACTTAAATGTATAAATATTCTTTTTTCTAAGCAGTGTAAATATAAAAAATTTTGCTACTTAGTAAAAAATATTATTCTGGATTTCATATTTCTTAAAATTATTCATTGTATTTTCGTTCAATTAATCATACTTCTCTATATCGATGTTGTCAACTTACACCTGTAATTGAGATGACATTTGTCATGTACTTATTCAATGTTTTTATTGTTCAATTGTTAGTGTAACTAACTAAATAAATAAACAAATAAGTAAATAATAGTTTATAAAAACTAACAAAATACGCTTTTATAGAAAATTCAATTCAAAAATAAAAAAATAATTTTAATAATTTTGAATTAAAAATAGTTTATGAAAAAATTATTTTATTATAAGAAAACGTGGGGTGCTTGGTGGTATAAGTAGTTATAAATATTTTATGAACAGATATAAGTAGAAGGGTTATTTTGATAATATCCTGAAAAGCACTTTTTAGTTGGATTTCAATTTTTTCAATATTTTTTTTAAATATTGAACTGTCCTTAATAAGTGTGCCTTTCGAGTTAATCCGACGTTTTGAAGGGGGGTCAAATTCATGTTCAAAAATTCCGTTACAAACACATACTGGTTTTTACTGGTGGTAGGACCTCTTGTGAGCCCGCGCGGGTAGGTACCACCGCCCTGCCTATTTCTGCCGTGAAGCAGTAATGCGTTTCGGTTTGAAGGGTTGGACAGCCGTTGTAACTATACTGAGATCTTAGAACTTATATCTCAAGGTGGGTGGCGCATTTACGTTGTAGATGTCCATGGGCTCCAGTAACCACTTAACACCAGGTGGGCTGTGAGCTCGTCCACCCATCTAAGCAATAAAAAAAAACATACATACATACGTCTGAAGCTAATAAAAAGTGTATTTATATCCTAATCAGTTTCGTGTTTACTGTACTCTCTCTCTCTCCAGAACTCCAAACTCTCAGCTAAGAGTTCGTCTCGGCGAGTGGGACGTTCGTGATGCCGGCGAGAGGTACTCCCACGAGGAGTTCTCGGTGCAGAGGAAGGAGGTGCACCCGTCTTACGAGCCAGCAGACTTCAGGAACGACGTCGCCTTAGTGCAGCTAGACCGAGGAGTTGTCTTCAAACAGCATATTCTGCCGGTGAGAGGAGTCATGACCAATATGAAATCTCAGCTTCGTTTTTCGCAAACAAACTCAAGAGCTGTGTATGTTCACGATTGACTTCCACGGTGAAGGAATAACATTGCGTTATAAAAATCAAACCCGCAAAATTATAATTTGCGTAATTACTGGTGCTAGGACCTCTTGTGAGTCCGCGCGGGTGGGTACCACCGCCCCGCTTATTTCTACCGTGAAGCAGTAATGCGTATCGGTTTGAAGGGTGGGGCAGCCGTTATACTTGAGATCTCAGAACTTATATCTCAAGGTGGGTAGCGCATTTACGTTGTGGATATCTATGGGATCCAGTAACCACTTAACACCAGGTGGGCTGTGAGCTCGTCCACCTATATAAGCAATAAAAAATAAATAAATAAAAGTTGATTAAATGATGATGATGCTATTGCATCATCATCATTTAATCCCAACTATTATATAAATGGGTATTATTAAAAATGGAGAACAGAAGAAATTTCAGACTATATATGTAAAACTGAAACTTCGAAGTCATGTCTCAAGATAGGCGGTGCCATTTCATCATTGACGTGAGCCATCCAATTAACACCAGATGAGCTGTGGAGCTCATCCTCCTATCTAATAAATAAAAATGCCAAAGTTCGGAATCTTATACTTATAAGATAAGGCGCCCTGTGTACTCGCGTCAAAAGAAAATATTGTACCAGTACTCCAATCCTGCACAGGAGTAACAATTTATCTGAAAAGTACCAAATACCCACAGAGGGTAAGGCAATTGAGGCAACCACCTGGCATCTTTGAGGCGGGAGTACATGAAACATTCACGACCAGACTGGGCATGGCCTTCCATGTGATTTTTGCCAGATAAAATACAGTACTATAGTCCTTTCCACAAAGCCTTATCGCAACGTCCTCAAAGAAAGATGATTTGAATACATTTCAGGTGTGCCTGCCACAAAAGCAGATGAAGCTCGCCGGTAAGATGGCGACAGTGGCGGGCTGGGGCAGGACCAGACACGGCCAGAGCACCGTGCCTTCTGTTCTACAGGTACCACTGATCTTGGGATTAAAAAAATTACAATTCGGTTAATTCCTAGCTCTGTGGTGTTGACACTCTATCTCTTTCCGTTAGTGTTGCAAGGTGACTAAAATATTATGGACAGCAATATTCTCTGAGTAATGTACCGGCGTACTGCAATGAGCAACTGGAATTCACTTGTGAGAAAATCTTGAAATAGTCACGTACCAATTTAAAGGATGGGATACCTGTTATAACACTGATCAATTGCTTCCCGAGCGCTATATGACAGATCCTGTTTCAAACGAGGCTTGTGGAGAGTCTTAAACGGTAGGCAGCGGCTTGGCTCTGCCCCTGGCATTGCTGATGTCCATGAGCGATGGTAACCACTTACCATCATGTTTGTGTGGTTGTGTATGCTCGTCTGCTTATACGGCAATATAAAAAAAATACTTCGGTTGTGATGTCTATGGGTAACTATTGTAAATCAAGCACGCCATCAGCTCGTTCACCTACGCAATAAAAAGGGATCTTTAAGCTTTAAGCTTATCAGAGCTTAAATTGAGATAGCTCTAGTTTTTTGCCAAGAAATAATTACAACCCTTAATCTGACTTCATAGTCGTTTACAATTTAGACAGAGCGATCGGGATCGTCTTGTAAAGGGAGGGGGCCTGATGCACCCATAACGTCCCTTTATTTCTATACGTTCGAGGGCACCCTACGGCACTTAAGGGCCTCCCGTCGCAGATTTCAATAAGTCCATCCATTTCATGCCCCCTCAACTTAATTCAGCTGACTATCTCTTCAGGAGGTGGATGTGGAGGTGATACCCAACGAGCGTTGCCAGCGCTGGTTCCGCGCGGCCGGCCGCCGGGAGACCATCCACGACGTGTTCCTGTGCGCCGGGTACAAGGAGGTGAGCCCTGACAATGTACAACGGCCCATAGACATCTACAATGGCATTTGCGTTGTAGATGTATATGGGCTCCAGTAACCACTTAGGACCAGGTGGGCTGTGAACTCATCCGCCCATCTAAGCAATAAAAATAAAATGTACTGAAAGCTGATAACACGACGGGGCGAAGCAACATTAATACGACAGCTAGATAGGAACAGACTTCTTTAAATATCTGTTTTAATGGCCATTAAGGAGACGACAAGATCTTCCACCGAGCGATTGGAATCGTTCGGTGGACCAATTTTGGAACTTGGCTCGTTTTGTCATTTATTAGATGGACATGAACAACGTTAATACCGGCACTTACCTAGAGATATGAGTTCTAAGGTCTCAGTATAGTTACAACGGCTGCCCCGCCCTTCAAACCGAAACACATTACTGCTTCACGGCAGAAATAGATAGAGTGGTGGTACCTACCCGTGCGGACTCACAAGACCCCTACCACCAAAGTATAAGATAAACATAATTTCAGCTCGTGACTTCAAACATTTCCCTGAGAGTGGCATCTGATATGAGCAGTATTTGTTTTCGGTACAGAATCACATCAATTATTAATAACTTGTAAATTGTCATTTGTTCTGATATATTTATAATATGTGGAGTGGATATAAAAAAAAATGTCTTGTCGCTTTCCGGCGCATCCAATGCGCTGGTCGAACCAGATATTCTCTACTCTCTCTCTTTCTCTCTCTCTCTCGCTCTATCTCTAGGATAGGCAGGACTGGCGCAGGATAATCCAGGAGAATGTTATTAGATGAGACCATAACCCAAAGCGTTGAGGATTATTGACACAAGGAGGAGGATCACTTTCCTGATACTGAGAAATGTCGTTAACACAGACACTGACTAAATCGAACCCTGATCCATAGTCTAGTGAACAAATAATACAACCAAAACGAACACCATTTTCTTTTTAATTCATAGGGAGGCCGAGACTCCTGTCAGGGCGACAGCGGGGGGCCGCTGACTATGAAGTACGAGGGGCGAAGCACCCTCATCGGCCTCGTGTCCTGGGGCATCGGCTGCGGCCGGGAGCACCTGCCCGGAGTCTACACTAACATACAGAAATTCGTTCCCTGGATCGATAAACTCATCAATACGTAGCTCAATCTAACGTTAACTGGTTAGTGGGGCCAATGGACATCATTACACAGACTCCATCAGCGGCTGTCCTACCCTTCGACCGAGGTTCTTCACATCAGATAGTGAGATATGTGGGTCCCCATGCGGTCCACTGGCAGCTCCTTATTTGATCTCAAGATTCAAACCAGCCACTAACTACAACTTATACAGACTGTAGTCAAGAAAACCATTTAATTTTTCTTAATGAAATAGTTAATTTTGATATTTGAGCATATTGAGCATTGCAGTGATGCTTTTTGAAAAGTCGGTTTAGAGCAAGCAGTAAGCAGCATGGAGTAGACGAATCTGCCAGCTTAATTATACTGTTATCTTGCGAAATATAAAACAAAAGTAATCATATCCCGAGGATTTTTAGGAAAATTCGCTCCATAATCTGGTAACATTAAAAATTGCAGTTTATTAAAATTAATAGAAGTGGCAAATTTAATAAATACAAAGTGCTCGCCTAAAACAAAAACAAAAAAAAATAATCTACGGATTTTTAATTATTCACAGTTAATGAAATTATGAATGTCTTAAATGAGAATCTTTGTTGTTTATGTTAAAGGACCATACCTTTTAAAAGTCCTGAATGAATATAGTGGGATCAGGTTGGCCCAACAGTGGAGCGCTAACAGTTTGTTAAAAAATACAGGGTACATAAAAAATACGTATATTGTCAATGTACATAAGTTATTTAATTTTAATAAATCATTTTTATAGCTACAAACGTAAAAATGATGTGGAGTTTTCCATTTTATTAAATTCATAAAGTAAAATTGAAAATTAGTGAAAGTATTACATTATTTTGATGTGCACAAAGCAAAGGATCAAGTTAGTAATACTATAGCAAAAACGATATAGAACAAACAAGGAATTTAGATAAAGCAAGCAATTTAAATAAGAAAGCAATTTAAATCAAACAAGCTCTTTAAATCAAGCAAGCTATTTAAATAAGCAAACAACTTAAATAAGCAAGCAATTTATATCAAGCAAGCTCTTTAAATCCAACAAGCTATTTAAATAAGCAAACAATTTAAATAAGCAAGCAATTTAAATCAAGCAAGCTCTTTAAATCCAACAAGCTATTTAAATAAGCAAACAATTTAAATAAGCAAGCAATTTAAATCAAGCAAGCTCTTTAAATCCAACAAGCTATTTAAATAAGCAAACAATTTAAATAAGCAAGCAATTTAAATCAAGCAAGCTCTTTAAATCCAACAAGCTATTTAAATAAGCAAACAACTTAAATAAGCAAGCAATTTAAATCAAGCAAGCTCTTTAAATCCAAAAAGCTATTTAAATAAGCAGTTTAGAGCAAGCAAGCTACTTAGAGCAAACAAACGAAATTGTTCTATATAGATTAAATAAATAATTACGACCCAGTAAATTTGATGAACTAAATAAAATTTAATTCGAGCAAAAATAAACGCAAGCCCCAGCTCGAATGGGTCGCTACATCGGGCTTGTCTATTTCTAACAAAGCATGTGATAGTTATCTCTCCTTGAATTTTTTGAAGTGTAAATAAAAGCAAGCAAAACTTGTGGTATTGTGTAAATAGTTAAATTAATTAATATATTATTCCAGTTTAAGTGACCCAGAAAACGCGGTCAGTTAAAATTTCATTGATTTTATCATAAAATCTGCCCTGATTTTTAAATTACCCATGTTTTCGATGTGGTGTCAGTCATCAGATAATGAAGTAAGATCACTTACTGCTCGAACGTTTGTCTGTTTGTCTATGGAAAAAACCAATTCATTCCCAATCCAATATACTCTATTTCACATTTATGAATTTTCGACCTCAGAATTAGAAAGCCTTAGAATTGTCATTTTGATTTTTAGTGCTAATATCATAATGAAAGCTCTATGAGCTTTAAAATAGTAATTGGATCTCACAGATTTACAGTTCTAGGAGAAAAATAAATTAATGAAGCTAAGATATACAAATACATTTAATACATTTTGGTCTGTACGTTTGTAGAGCTATTTATTTTTAGATGTAACTTTTATACAATTGTTTTTTTTTTAAATAATAAATTATTTTTATAAATGCACAACTTTTTATTTCCTTTAATGGCCGTAATTTGAATGTCGTCGTGATTTATTAAAATGGTAAATCCAGTATTTCAAGCAGGTGTACTAAATGAATATAAGGCCCATACGTATTGAAAATGGGGCAAAGTCGCATCGTTCTCGTCAATACTAAGTTTTTTTTTTTTCCTACCTATGGTGATAGCCTTAAGAGGCTATTTCAGCTTCGCCCTAACGTGTGTAGGTGATCTCACGGGGTTCAAACCCTAGCAAGAGCAGTGCTTCGCAGAATCTACCACCGGATCGGAAACGCGACCCCCTGAGAAGATCCGGCGAGAAACTCAGTGGGTTGCTAAGTATCATAACCTCTATGCAACACCGGTGGTGATGTAGAAAGCTCGATCCCTAATGCAAGCTTCGGAGACCACTTTTTCCAGATTGTTCTCCACCTGGTGGGACCAACGAATAGAGCTATGATCTCTGCATCTGTTTGCATCCAACGAGCCAGTCAGGCTTTATCCAATTACCACCCTATTTTCTGGTACTAGCTGAGGTATCCAAATATCAGTTGGTCGAAAGTGTACGAAAACATTCTCATCAAATATATACATGGGAACAAATCACGCACGGTCGTGTGGCGTCAATTAAGGATTCCCTTTGTAATAGACACCAGAGACTGACATAATATACAGAGAATAAACACCCAGACAAAAAGAAAACAAACCTGTTCATCACACTAATGTTAGCCCGTGGTGGGAATCAAACCCACGACCCCCAGCGCAACAATCAGGGCGCTAATTATTGCACCAAAAAGCCAGTCAACGCGTTCAAAGCTGTGATTCGCTCCTTGATGGTGGCTACCAACCATTTTTATTGCTTTGTAAAGACCGAGGAACTCACCCACTCAATCGGAGCGAAGATCTGGAACTCTCGACTGTATCCATCATCCAGGACCGTCTCACTTCCTGGAAGACATAGATAGTCTCTGTAATACAAGTAAGCCAGATTGGCAGCACCGCTTAAACAACACTAGAGCTTAAGCAGAAATCAGTGAATTTCGTGTCTCTCTGATTGTTTCTCCAAAAAACACTTAGTTAGTTTTGAAGGCTTTTTGTGCTTTTTTTTTATTTTTTTTATTGCCTTTTTAGGCAGACGAGCATAAGGCCCACCTGATAGTGAGTAGTTACCGTCGCCCATGGACTTCAGCAATGCCAAGGGCAGAGCCAAGCCGCTGCCTACCGCTTAATACTCTCCACAAGCCTCGTTTGAAGAAGGACGCTCGGGAAACACCGTGGAGGGGAGCTCATTCCATAGCCGGATGGTACGTGGCAAAATCAGCCAAAAAACTGGTGTACATGCTAATTCGCTACAATGAAGCAATAACCTGAACTCGCATATAAATATATAAATCGTACGACGCGACGGAAGCGCGGTCCCATCCAAAATTATAAAGTTTTTTTTTTAATTGCTTAGTAGGGTGGGCGAGCTCACAGCCCACCTGGTGTTAAGTGATTACTGGAGCCCATAGACATCTACAATGTAAATGCGCCACCCACCTTGAGATATAAGTTCTAAGGTCTCAGTATAGTTACAACGGCCGCCCCATCCTTCAAACTGCTTCACGGCAGAAATAGGCAGGGTGATGGTAGTACACAGCTTTTTAGGTAGTGGATAGGTGGTACCTATCCGCGCGGATTCACAAAAGAGGTCCTACCGCCAGTTAAACGAGGTTTAATCAGTTTCAAATTTATAATCCCGAGCGAATTAATTTAGCGACATCTATCAACGAAGGGTAAAAACTAAAACAACGAAGAATCAACGACGATAGATGGCGACACTCGATCATGTCGATAGCTTGAACGTAATACTGGCTTCTTAATTTTTTGAGTCTTCTGCCTGTTGGCTATGGAGATCGGTGAGGAAGAACCAGCAGACAGAGTGACAGTGGTTCTACAAGCCTCGCAAAAGATTCGAATGATGAATCTGCATGCCGGTGCTGACTCAATGAGATGTTTCCTGGGAGGGATGTGGCGTCATGAAGGCGAGTTTTTATGCGAGTGACCGAAATCTTTGTCTACACTTGTTCAATTGAATTCTATATCTATTTAACGGCCGTCTGGTGTAGCGGTAAGTGACATGGTCACTACACAAGGGGGTCACGGGTTCGAATCATGCCCAGGGAAGATATTTGTATGATAAATATTATTATAAAATGTCTTTTCCAGGGCTCAGAATTGAGTTCCAGGGTTATGGATGTATATTATACTAGTAGTCCCGCAGTACTCGAAATTCGACTATAATGAATTGAATTTATAAGTTTCAACATTATTATGGTCCTGTTGTTACAGATGTGGCCAAGACTACACTATAGACAAATCCTCGTAATATTAAAGATAAACAATACTAACCTATTCTCAATTTGACTACAGACTTTAAGCAATAACAAAATTTTGACAATTAACAAAGAGTATATGTGTGTGTGTGTGTGTGTGTGTCAAATACATGGTAGTGTGTGTCATGTTTTCTTTAGTGATTTAATGTATCTTTTATGCATTATTTAAAAAAAAAATTAGCATTGTGCACTTCTTCTCTACATTTTCTATAAGTGTAGAAAATTTCATACTCATAGGGATACAAAGTTTTTGCTTCACGTATTAATATATAGATATACGTGTGGGTATAATAAAAATCTCACATTTATTTCCGTTATCTGGTACCTGTAACACAAGTTCTTTACGAACTTAGCACGGGATCAGTTAACGTGACGTGATTGTTAGTAAATATTTATTTATTTATATCATCTGACGCTCCAATACTGGTTGTTAAGTGACGCTTGGTTTAATTGCTACCGGCCCCAACGAGTCGACAGAAACCCGGCGATCTCTTCAATACCCAATAAAATCCTTTCCTTTTAATTTGCAATTTCGATAACTTCAATGAATACGCGGACCGTATTTATCATCGTTTATTATCAAACTTTACTTCACTACTGTGTTAAAGTATCAAATTTATCTCTCGAATGAACTTGAGATAATTCTGGAATAAAAGACATCAACGCGCGACTCTTTTTTTTTATTGCCTTGATGGGTGGACGATCTCACAGCCCACCTGGTGTTAAGTGGTTACTGGAGCCCATAGATATTTACGACGTAAATGCGCCACCCACCTTGAGATAAGCTCTAAGGTCTCAAGTATAGTTACAACGGCTGCCCCGCCCTTCAAACCGAAACGCATTACTGCTTCACGGCAGAAATAGGCAGGGTGGTAGTGCCCACCCACGCGGACTCACAAGAGGTCCTACCACCAGCAACTGTGTAACAGCGACTGTTGCTATGTACTTTTTTGAAACTTTCTGTACAGGATCACACCTTTTTATCGTCCTCTATGAGTTGATATGCTCACAGCCCACCTAGTATTAAATGATTTCCATAATCTTCAAGTGACGATATAAATTCCGTTACCAGCCTTGAGATGTTAAATCGAAATTATTGTTGAACAGTTATTTCCACCACCAAACTGGAATAAATGAATGCCTTCTGGCTGAAATAGGTACAGATTAGTAACCTGTATGGTTAGGTCAACGACCTCACACCTCAATACCCCTTACAATTTACTTTTAATATTGTAAGAGCTCATCTCAAGACACGCGAACGACTCCGCTGCACAAAAGCCTTTTTGCTAAGAATCAGGTTTCGGTTAAATATTCCCAAAATGACGTAACTAAGAAGCACAACTATTAACGAATTCCAACTTTACGTTCTTCGCTAAAAGACATATTCTCGTTTGGAATTAGATTATTCAAGTTGCCAAAATAACCCAATGCGTGTGTGTGTATTGTTATAATTAAATATATTATACATTTTGTGGCTTAACAATACATAAGAATACGAATTTCGTTTTTAAGCTTCAGGTACATAAGGATCGATATTGTATGACAGCGTTTTTAAGACAAAACAAATTATAACATCTGTCCGTTACCGAAACGATATGTGCTTTATTCCGCTTGCATAAAGAACAATATTGCGTGCGCATTTGTTTTTCAATCAAACCAAATTGGCATCGAAGGCAGACCACAAACAAGTCGTAGCTTGCATGAGTTTTTTTTGTTTTTGTTTTTTCCAAACGAGTTTCAAGAAAGACTCAAGACGAATCCAAGGACAATGCATTGATGTTTTAAAACCTTAGGTTTTAGCGGATCTTAAATGAGATTCGCTACGATCGTTTATCGCGAATTACATCTGCTCGCATCTACTTGCAGATGCTAGGGGTTGCTTGTAGTAGGGGAGCCCAAGCGGGGATTTCGGGATTTACTACAGCGCGGCAGATTAATATACAGGATAAAGGATAAAGGATCAAGGTCAAGGATAAAGGATCAGATTAGTCAAAAAAATCGATCATCAGAAAATCTCGAGCGCGTCAGATTAAGCTAGGGTGAGTTAATTACATGCTAAAAAGTCTTATATTCCACTAATCTGACAATTTGAGATTGACGTAAAGAAAGGGGAGGGCGGAAAATTTGTAAAAAAAAAACTTCATCTCGACATTCTCGAGCGTGGCTGAATTTTTTATTTATTTTGTAGGAAATCATTCAACGATAACGAAAAATATATAATCTGACCATTTCCACAAGCCGAAGTAACAAAAATTGGATAACACGTCGCACCAACGATTCGATCCTCCAACAGCTCCAAAACGGAACTTCTGGAATACTTTGGCCACATTACCAGAACGGATGACGGTAATTAGAAGGACAACTTGAACACTCGACGGCAGTTAGGAACGAATAGCCTAGAGTGTTCCACAATAAATTCTTGTAGTCTTCCAACGCTGCCCCAAATAAGGCACCCTCTAAAATTAAAATTCCAAATGACGTCATTTGGGGCTAATAAACGCTGAGGAAACCACAAATTGCATACGAATGCCAATTGTGTAGCTACATGCATTTTATTTGATCTTTTGTTGATTGGAGAAAACGGCGACAACTCACCCTCGATTGGGGCGTATGCTCAACCTTCGAAGGTTACAAAAAAAACCTCAAGACATTCCGTTATGCCACAATCGATGATAAACCCTATGCTGACATCATCTCCGTTTTCTGCGCTCCACTAGACTCATCCTGCGGCTTCGTCCGAAATAAATCCAAATTATTGTTTGCGGTACATTTTGTTGCTACACCACTCTGTTGTTGTTGTAGATAAACAGACAATGGTCACTACCCACACGGTCTTAAGTGACCTATAAACGTCACAAGCTCATATCAGTTTGGTGCGACCATAAAAACTGTATATAAGCCTAGTTTGAAACAATGACGTTATAGCTTAAAATTAGTTTTCATTATCACAACTCAAACTGTATACATAACAAAATCATTAATACTAAAATAAGTTCAGTATAGCTAGTTATTGCGTGTTATTGTGTAGAATTTCAAAAACACGCGGCTTTTTAGCGATTGTGTAATAAAAGCTTCCTCAGACGATCGCGATTTTTTTTGGAATTGAAAGATTACTGTTGGCCCGTAGGCCTTTCCAGTTTCACCAGAACAGGTGGGCGAGCAAAGGCTCAGCCAGGAGGGGTGGGATTTGCTAACAGCTGCTCGAGCGCCTCCGAAGGAGACCTAACAACTCAAGAGCAGCTGCTTCGCGAATGAATCTACTACCGGATCAGAATCGCGACCCGCTGAGACGATCCGGCGAGAAACTCAGCGAGCTGATGCATGAGTTAGGTTGCACGTCGACCTCTTTGTTGAGTTCGACGAGTACGGTTACCGGGGTTCCTCAGCCTGCTCCTAATGTTAGAGCTGAAGGCGTCTAATGCAAAGGTTATTGGATCTAATGGATCTGTAAGGACGTGACGATCGCGATTCTGATCCGGTAGTAGATGCGTTCGCGAAGCAGCTGCTTTTGAGTTGTTAAATCTCCTTCGGAGGCGCTCGGGTAGCTGTTAGCCAATCCCACCCTCCCGTCTGAGCTTAGTACGTGTGAACTTTAAAGCTCAATTTTTAGATGATCGCCCAACCGAGAGCTCAAACACGGATCCGCAAAATAATAACAATAACATATACACGTAAATAATATGTAGTTTAACTTAAAAAAAAAGTCTTAAGTAGCAAACTGATCCGAGTTAATATCATACCGGTTAGAATGTCCTTTTCTTTGTCCTAGTCCTTGTCCTAGTCCTTGATGCATTTAGGTTGATTGGACTTTTTACGATTAAACTTTCGAAGTCGTCGCGGCCTAACGGATAAGACGTCCGGTGCATTCGTGTTGAACGATGCACCGGTGTTCGAATCCCGCAGGCGGGTACCAATTTTTCTAATGAAATACGTACTCAACAAATGTTCACGATTGATTTCCACGGTGAAAGAATAACATCGTGTAATAAAAATTAAACCCGCAAAATTATATTTTGCGTAATTACTGGTGGTAGGACCTCTTGTGAGTCCGCACGGGTAGGTACCACCACCCTGCCAATTTCTGCCGTGAAGCAGTAATGCGTTTCAGTTTGAAGGGTGGGGCAGCCGTTGTAACTATACTGAGACTTTAGAACTTGTATCTCAAGGTGGGTAGCGCGTCTACGTTGTAGATGTCTAGAGGCTCCAGTAACCACTTAACATCAGGTGGGCTGTGAGCTCGTCCACTCATCTAATAAAAAAATAAAAAAAAACGATATATTTCTTCATCGCTAATTGTTTTATTATTATTATTATTTAAAATTAATTTTAAAATATTATTTATTGTATGCAATTGCCCCTTTCAGGGCTGCCTGGAAGAAATAGCTCTAAGTAATAAAGCGGCCAATTTTAATTATTTGCAATTGTTATACTTTAAAGTTTACTTATATACCTGTGTTACAACAAAGACTTACTTATCTGTAATATTGTGACTAACAGACAAACATGCCAAACCAAATAATGTGTAGAAACCAAGGTATCGGTTATTCCAATAATATTTTAATAGATTCGACTCGCAAACAATGTTAAGGTGAACGAAAACTAACCCTATTTCTCGAAACGCATAAGCTATTTTTCTATGCCCTAATTTGTTTACTCACGCCTTTTGAGTTTCGTATCCTTCAGTATTCCAATAATAAGTTTAAAATAATTTACTCAATAAATAAATAAATCGACCATAAATATGAAACAACAAAATCATTTATCCTTTACCGAAAACAATACACTAAAGCCTTTTCAGTTCTGACGAGCACAACATATTCCGATATTTTAATAATCATCTGCAGAACAAAACCGCCTCTCACGCTGAGCGGTAGAGCCGTAACTTCTTTGCATGTTATTGCGTGCTTAGGTCATTTTGTTCGTGAACTATCGTCGACAGGTACGGGCAGTTTGCGCCCGCGCACACTCCTCAACCAGACCAGTACAAATCCGACGTCAGAACGCGTGGTCGCTATGCGAGCCAAAACGAACGCTATCGAAAAAAAAAACGAACCCAAAAACGTCTCATAACAAAATCTCTAGTTCGGTTTTTCCGTATACAAAACAAAAAACTGACACTGATTATGTTTATTCGTCTTGTGCCCAACGAAATGTGGTTTTAGTGTGCATGCACTCTGTGTGTCCTGTGTTTTTATGTGTCCAAAGCACGAAGGCTTCTTGAAAGCTCAGGATTTAAACTTAAAAACAGGTGAGCGTTTTTATTCTCACTAAAATACATTACTTTACTAACACATTCGAACGTCAAGGAAGTGTACAATACTATAGTCATGAGACGACCTTGGACAGTGAGCAAATGAAAAAATACGTAGTTAAACTTCAAACTGTAGAGATATTAGGAATGTGCTATTAGGGCCATTGTTGAATAGTCTATTTTTTGACAAAATTAACAGAAGAAATGGTACTACCCTGAATGGATTGTTACCAATATATATTTCGATTTATACTTCAAACTGTACAGATGTTAGGAATGCGCTTAAACTATTAGGGCCATTGTTGAATAGTGTATTTTTTGGCAAAATTAACAGAAGCAATGGTACTGCCCTGAATTGATTATTACCCAAAAATCGTTTCGACTTAAGTTCACATCGAAAATAGGCTCTATAAGTCTTCAAGGAGATTAGTAGGTAGGCAGCGGCTTGGCTCTGCTCCTGGCATTGCTGAAGTCCATGGGCGACGGTAACCACTTACCATCGGGTGGGCCGTACACTCGTCTGCCTACAAAGGCAATAAAAAAAGATTATCATTAAAGCTTTTATTATTATTATTATTATGTATAAATTTGATTGAAGGGTGAAAGGATTCGTATCGCCATTACTTTTTTTTTTTTTTTTTTTTTTTATAACAACTAAGAGGCAAACGAGCAAGACGGGTCACCTGATGGTAAGTGATTCACCGCCGCCCACGGTCACCAGCGTTTACGCCAGTGCGTTGCCTACCCTTCAGATAAGAATATGCTCTTTTCTTGCATTCCGTAGGGTGGTAGAGTCGTTAGCACAATCGAGAGTTTCAACCTGATGATTCAAAATGGGTTGATCGTTGACTCGATGATCACTTAATACTAGGTCTATGTCTTTTTTATTGCTCAGATAGGTGAACGAGCTCACGGTCAATCCGATATTAAGTGTTTACCGGAGCCCCTAGACGTAGACAATGTAAATGCCACCACCCACCACGATCATGGGTTCTAAGCCAAGGTTTTGTAATACATCGACTACTCCACCTTTCAAACTCCCTTCGGACTGAGCTTTTCCTGGGGAATTTGGAAAGCCTCCGGACCACCAGTGATTCCTCATACACAAAAAACCCTTCAAATCGAAAAGCATTACTGCTTCGCGGTAGAAATAGGCTTCGCGGTAGGCAGCGGCTTGACTCTGCCCCTGGCTTTGCTGAAGTTCATGGGCGATGGTAATCACTCAACATCAGGTGGGTCGTATGCTTGTCTGCCTACAAGGGCAATAAAAAAAAGGGCTGTGGTACTTAACCGTGCGGGCTCCCAAGACGTTATGCCACCAAAAATTACGCAAATTATAATTTTTAACGGTTCAACTTTTATTACACAACGGTATCCCTCAGTCACCGAAATCATTCGTATATATGTATTACTAGCGACCCGCCCTGGCTTCGCTTCGGAAACTGTAATTTATTATTGATTTTTCCACTATTTAATGGATGTTATTATAATATAAACCTTCCTCTTCAATCGCTCTATCTATTAAAAAAAAACCGCATCAAAATCCGCTGCGTAGTTTTAAAGATTTAAGCATACATAGGGATATAGGGACATAGAAAGCGACTTTGTTTTATACTGTGTAGTAAAATGCGTAAGTTAATTATTTCATTCGAAAAAAATTGGTATATGCCTTCGGGATGTATCACCGGTACAATCACATCGCTCGACACGAATGCACCGCGCGTCTCATCCGTCAGGCCTCAACGACTTCTACAGCGACTTCTACAGTTTCTACGAAATTCATTGTAGTTCATTGATACTGGATAACTCTTAATTCATTCGAAAGCTTTAAATATCAGGACATAAAAGTTGCGAAGCCGGATTTCAAGTCTCATATATTACAAAATTACTGACTGTAACCAGAGCTTTTTTATTGCTTACGTCACTCAGCTCACGGACCACCGTTTCACATCACAGTTGCTATTTATTTTATTTTTTTAAATAAGTTTGTCACTTCACCAGTGACGTCACAAAAGCTTCATCATTCAAGGCGATATCCAAAGACTAGGCTAAAAAATACATTTTTGTCTTAGTCTCAACAGTATTTATCCGTGAGATGAAGTGTTCACGAACGCTCATTAACAACGTCCTCAAGTAGATAATGGAATGGACCACGAGTAACTTTCACAGTTCTTAATGGGCGTAAAATAATCAATAAGCAATTGAGAAGACTTTAGGTACAAATACCGATGTTGGTCCAACCAACGCCAATCTAAGACATCCCTCTCTCGCTTATACAGGAACAGTGAAGTGCGAAAAGAACAGAAAGCGCCGTCCAATACCTTGCTGGTCAATAGATTACACATACCCATTGATAATCGTATTAAAAGCGAAATACCATGAACACATATAAAGGTCAAAAGTTGTATAACAACATTTTCAATTCTTAGTCATTTTTAGCTATGAACAGGCGAGGATCTGCTAGTGCTGGAAGCGATTAAGCATGAGACCGTATTGAATTGGAGTAATCGAAATCCAAGTAAATACACTTACTCATACACTTCATAAATTGAATTTAAAATTACAGTCAGGTAATACATCCTTCTTTTTCATTCTGCATCTCTTTTTATGGAAGTAAATATTTTTATATTTATTTTTCCTTATAAATTTTATTTTCAGTACTGGCTTTTTTATAATTACTTATTTGATGCTCTATAATGATTAAGATTCTTATTGTATGTACTTTAGGCTGTATTTTACTATTGTCAAACGAGCCCCTATTGATATCACGATTATGACCGTAATGACTGCAATACAGTTTAAATTATTAATGCTCATTACGGAATTTTAGTTAGATCTTAAATGAGCAATTAATTTTATAATCCCCTTAAATAATTATTCGTGTTTTATGTTAAAACATAAATAAAACTAAAAATTCATCATCATCATCATCATCAACAGCCCACAGTCGTCCACTGCTGGACATAGGCCTCTCCCAATCTACACCACTGAGCCCGGTCTGCGGCTCTCCTCATCCACTTCTTGCCGGCCACCGTGCGGAGGGCATCGCACCACCTAGCCAATTTTTTTTTATTTTATTGCCCTTGTAGGCAGACGAGCATACGGCCCACCTGATGGTGAGTGGTTACCGTCGCCCATGGACTTCAGCAATGCCAGGGGCGTAGCCAAGCCGCTGCCTGCCGCTTAATACTCTCCACAAGCCTCGTTTGAAGAAGGACATGTTAAGCTACTACATGTAAAACTAAAAATTTATGAAAATAAAAATGATAAACGGACATATCCATATCCATATTTTTACGCCAGATAAAACAGTTCTAAGTGACATTCTCTATGTGAGATCTTCGTCTGAATATTGCAATGTGTTAAATTCACGTGCGTAATAAAGTATAGCGTATAACTTATTACAAATTGAACCAGTTCACATTGTTATCGGTCGGATCTCTAGCATTTAACAATCTTTCGCGAGCACGTAATTATGAAGCTTTTCAGAATTTGCGAAATTTAACGCAACGGCTTCTCGGCGATGGGAACCGCGGTGTCCGGGTTCGATGACTGTCTAGAGATCGGGCTCTGGCAATCTTGCTGCGCTAACTCGGGTTTTCGCAGCGTGAGATCAGCGCTGTTTTGCAAGAGTGAGTGAGGTGAGCGCGCACTGCGGACTCTGTCGTCTGCGTGAAAGGAATTAACAGAATATTTGATGGATGAACGAAGCCCATCTGATGTTAAATGGTTAATGGAGTCCATAGACATCTACAACGTAAATGCGCCACCCACCTTGAGATATAAGTTCTAAGGTCTCAGTATAATTACAACGGCTATCCCGCCCTTCAAACCGAAACGCATTACTGCTTCACTGCAGAAATAGGCGGGGTGGTGGTACCCACCCGCACGGACTCACAAGAGGTCCTACCACCAGTGAAGTACATGGTATGTAGTGTGTGTAATGTTTTCTTTATTGATTTATTGTATCTTTTATGCATTATTTAAAAAAAATATTAGCATTGTGCACTTCTTCTCTATATTCTCTATAAGTGTGGAAAATTTCATACTCCTCCGTCCGCGCAATTTTCGTAAAAAGGGATACAAAGTTTTTGCTCCCATTTGGAGCAATAATAAAAAAAAATGCATGTACCCGTAAAATATTTTTGGACATTTCTGAAATTAAAACTATTGTAATTTATTAACCTTTACGTGGTGCAAGATTACATTGTGCTGACAAGTATACTAAAAAGTACGTAACGATTGTCACCGGTGAAGGCTTTAACTCAAGGTGGGATCGCCCACATCGTCACCCACTTAACTGTGACGTCATAATAAACCGGAACTTTGAATTCATGAGGAATTTTCAATCATTGTCACCACTTACTTCAGTGGGGAAGGAACGGGCAAGATGGTACTACGAAATCCGAACAGAGTGAGACAGTTGTATGTAATGCCATTGAGACTGATCCGGGTAACACAAATCCTCCTCCCTGAGTCGCATTTCTCATATCTGAAGGTCGTGACTTCCCATTATCCTTCTCTGGATGATGTTTCGCCATCTTCCTCTGTTCTCGGCGGTGTGCATGGCATGGTATGGTAGACTGTGGTATCCTGAGTGGTGCGGATTTGGTCGGACCAGCGCATTGGATTGCGGCCACGAGATCTTTTGCCTGCAATGTTGCCATCTACCATCAGTTTTTCAAGATCGTCACCGCTCTTTCTGTCACCGCTGTCAACACAAATAGAGATGAAAATAATGAAATTGCTAATAAATAGAAAAAAACAAACAGCCTTGATTTTTCTACACTTTATTTATTGTGTAGACGGATTAACGAGTTCACGGTTCACCTAGTTTTAAGTGGTGACTGGAGCCCTCTGACATCAGGATATGAATGCAAGATCCATGTCTTAATTATATAGCAATAATACAACTTTTATCACACATCGTTCCTTCAAAGGGAAAGTCACTCGCGAACGTGAATCCAGTACGTATTTGATTAGAAAAAAATGGTACC